AGAGTTTAACGGAGTAATATCATAGGTGACGAATTACTCCTTAATTCTGGCGCGAAATTTCAGCGATAATTTTTAATTTCACATGTGAAATTACAAAATTGCCATGGCAACCTTCCGTACTTCTCAGTGTCAAGACGGCGACGAAGTTTCAAAATGACAGTAATGAAGATGCCAGGGCAGAAAAAGACGCTTTAGAAAACCTACACACACGAAAGAGCACATCAAGAAGGACTCTAACAGGTATTTTGTCGAAAAATTCTCAAGTTAAGCCAAATTTAAGCTCTAAACGTTCGAGAGAGGGGAGTTCTCGATCGATGCGATCCAGGATAAACATGTCAAAAATCCAAGATTGCTAAGTGAACGTAATTCGTCACCCATGATGTTAATAGGTAATCAAATATTTATGGTATACTCGTGAAATTAGGGAATAATTTCACTTGCGTTTTGTCCAAATCCTAGTAATTTTCCTTATAAGGATTTTAGCCTGCAAAACAGGCGTATTTTGGAGCGCGATCTATGAATTGTTTTCAGGAATGACGTTGTCCCACCATCTTGGACGTCAAATAATTAAATACTACCAGAGAGTTGGGACGAGTCAAAAACTGATTTTAAGGAAGAGTTTGATGGGTTTAAAATAGCGGAGGGGGAGGGGGAGGGGAGGAAAAAACTCTCCTCTCGCCTCCACCCTCCCCCTTTCACCGCCCCTCCCCCTTAGTCTTTTCCGTTGCTGTTCAAGACGGCGGCCACGATCAATGTAGCTCCGAGTTTTCGTTAAAAAACGCCTGCTCTGCAGGCTATAAGGATTTGGACAAAACACGCGTGAAGTTATTCCCTAATTTCACTTGTCACCATTTGATTACACATAATAATTTCCCGATGTTTCGCCCGTATTAAGTTTGGAAGTATTATGAGTGGTTTTCGGAAGTTTTGTGACTGCCGCGAAAGTCATTTATTGTGTGATTTACCGAAAGTGTTGACAGACTAAAGGCAGGTACGTGCGGTTGAGCTCGTGTTACCGGAATACTTTGTGCCGAGCATAAAACCGCTCCGTGAGTGTTTAGTTTAGGTGATTTTGTCTTTGAAAGCCTATTCTGTGCTCAAAGATTGTGCATTCTTGATCTGTTTTCGGCCGACACTGAGCCATGGGCCTCACGATTTGGCTGACTAAAAGATTACAATTTCTGGACGTTTCAAATGTTGTTTATTTCATAGCAAAATCGTTTTACTTCCTCTGCGAGAGAACTTTACCGTCTATTGCCAGCAATAATACTGTCATTGTTTAGCCTCAGCTAGTGACTTTTAACTGCTTTCCATTCCAGTCAGATGTCAAATTGTTAAAATGCACTTGAAATTTCTTTAGCCACGTTTTATCAAATCCAGTCAGATATTATATATATATATATATATATTTTATTTGCAGTCATAGAAAACACGACGCCCGCATCTGTACCAGAAAATAACAACGTTATTTACATTTCACTTGGTGTCACCTCCGCCATTTTGCTGTTGTCGTTCGCTGTTTTCGTCTAGTGCTACAGAAAAAGAAAGAAAAGGTTTGTGGAGCTCTGCTAATTACATCGTACAGCGTGCGCATAAGTAATTCCAGCCTGCGTAGCTGGCGGTTTTTTCCGTGTGTTTTTCTTTTCTGTTTCGTAAAGTAACCACGCGAAAGCTGAACCGAAGACAAAAAAGAAACGATAGGGTAGGGGGCCAGGGGAGAAGGCAGTTAAAAAAAACCCTCCTACATACAACCCTTAGAGATTTTTGAAACCCTACTTCCAGTCTTGTAAAAGGAGGAGTTTGGCTTAAGAGTGATTTGACTGTCGCACCAAATGTTTGTTGTTAACGACTTGCGTAGTCCCTGTACGGCGTTTTCCCAGTCCCTCTCGGTCAATTCACTTTGGTGACGTATCCGAAGCAAACGGGTGGGAAAAGGCCTCACATTTTCGCTTGGACCGCGTGACCCGAAACGCTTTGGCCGCGCGAAATAATGACGCTTAGGGACTAGGCAAGTTAACGACCGTTTATTATGTTTGTTTTTTTTTAACGGCGCTTTCCCGGTCATTATTTGGAAAATAATTTTGTTTATCGGAATTTGATTGTTGAATTGTGTCACCATCAGAAAAAAATATTGATTTTGTTTTTTAACGAAAGTCTCATTTGAAGTAACGAATGTTGATTTCTGACACATCGTAGGACAAAAGCAAAAGTGCACTCAAAGCTACTGTTAGTTTTTCGCTGTGCAAGGTATTTTTTTTTCACGACTGGATTGACTATAACGGGGTCGCATTTTCAATAGAGTTACTAGAATGAGCTCGCACATTTTTCTGATTTTTGGGGTAAGACATTTCTTCATATTTACGGTTAGCAAACGTACCAGAATGTTTGTACTGTAGGTGAAAAGTAAAGTGTTCTTCATCCAATTTTAAAAATGGGTCAATTCATTTTAGGATGACCCATTTAAAGGATTGATAAGGTAGAATTCAGAACTTGTTTTGAAGAAATTTCCCCGCAAGAGCTAATCGGCAAAAAAAAACGTGACGGCCGTTCGGTCATTGCGCGCCAAAATTTTAACCGTTGGAAATAGTAAATGAGTTAAAAATCATCATTTTTTTGCTCAATTAGCTCATTGTTTTCTATACTAAAACAATTATTCACCTCAGTGTCGGTGGCTAGTGGTAGGTATTCATGGCCCCGTCTTTTTTTGCCTTTTCCCCCACTGCTGTGCTTGGTCCCAGGTTATCCCTCCCCAGTTACACAATTTACTCTATTTTTCCCCCGCCTTCCCAACCCTGACATTTTCTGGGCCTCCCCCGAGCTTGGCGAGATTCTGCGATACACGTATTTCTAGTTTAGAGATTATTTAGTCGCAGTAAAAAGCTATAGCTCTTAAAAAGAAAATGCTAAAACTCTGCATCAGAGGTCAAATCCCGGTCAAATCCTGTCAGATGCAAAGACCATAGGAAATCAATACGCGTGAAACTCATTTTCATGACCTCTGAATGTAAAGCAGCTGGCAAAAATATTTTAAAATGTCAAATTCAAGAATCTACAACAGCATAATTTACCTGCTTGAAAGTAAAAAATTGAACAAATGGTATTTTCACTCGAGGGAAAAGTCGTGCAGGCCTGCCGCCCGATTCCTTAGTTCACTCTGCAGTGACTTTCAATTACTCCAGAATAACATGTGAAAAGGTCAGTAACCAGAAACCCATATCGATCTATAGTATAGTGCTTATTCGGTTGACAAGTGGATAAAACCGTAAAACAACGCTTGATACGTCCAAAATATAGGACATGTAGCCTCTACCTTCGTGTTGCTCTGCACGCAGAAGGCGGTTATTTTTCTACAGACGATTGCTTCACAAAAAAATCCGGCGGCCCGTCTACCAGAAGTGCGACCAATCTGCACGTTTCACATGAAAAAGCTAGAAGAATATCTCGAGAATGTCCAGTGGATTTTTCTAAGACCTGAAAAATTTTTTCACGAGAGATATTCCAAAGTGAAGATGATAATAGACACGTACATCAAAAGAAAAATCTCACTTTCGCTAACATTTCTAATCCATTGTTCATCACCTTATGCACAAGTCTTCTACCGTTTCTTCTTCGTTGTTTTGTTACGAAAAGGCGAGCAAAGACTGCTGGAAAAACGCGAAACACAACAGATTTCCACGCCAATTCGAATCCGCTCGAGGATATTTCTAACCCTCCATGCTATGACGTCACGCTATTGTGTCGCATATTTCACAAAAGTGGAAAAGCTCTGGACTGGTAACTGTACGCGTGAAATCGGTTGTTTTTACAAATAAAGTCGGGAAGAACTCTCCATATTGTGTGGGCGTTTTTAATAAAACAATTATTCCACTCGTGCTTGTTGGATATAAGATGATAATAGCCAACTCAGCGCTACGCGCCTCGTTGGCTATATCTACCATCTATATCCAACGCCCACTCGTGGAATAGTATACAACTATCCCCCGAAAGGGGAGGTGAATGGTAAACAACTATCCCCTGAAGTGGAGGTGAATAGTGGTAGGTAGATATATATCTAGCACTGTTCACCAACCCTGATGGGGATAGTTGTTTTAGTATTTACCAAATCAGTTGGATAAAAATGAAAAACTGAAAGTAACCTTATTTAAAGTAAAAACGTCACTTATAGGAACTTTGTTTACAATTTACAAACATTTCGGTGATTTTGTCGAGTGCATTTTACTATTTTGTTGCAAATTCAGTATGAAAATAATTTTCTACCTACCAGTAATTATATATAAATACCGACAAGCCAAAGTTCGTCGCTTTCTTGGTATTTGTTTGTACGAATGCTTCATTTATCGCTCAAATTTCGTCTTCCGAAAATGTCTCGAAACGAGACGCCATCTTGGCTCTTGCCGCAAAACAGTGAATAGCCAAGGATATTCTGAGTTACGGGAGCCAATCAAAACGCGCGAAAATTGCTATTCACTGATTTGAAAAATACTAATGGTGGTGGAGTACATACCGAGACTCGAACCGTTGAGGTATATATTTAGCGTTATGAACCGACCCTGAGGGGGATAGTTGATTTAGTATTTACCAAATCAGTTGGATAAAAATCAAAAAGGAACTTTTTGTAGATAAAAGACGTCACTTAGTTAGAGTTTGTTTACGTTTCAATTGACAGCGTTTCGGGGATCTTTTTTTTTTTATTTTGTTGCAAACTCAATAAGAATTTTTTTTTCTACCGACCAGAAAACACCGACAAGCCAAATTTGGTCTCTTTCTTGGTATTTGTTGGTGCACCTGCTTCATTTACCGCCAAAATTTCATCTTTCGAAACTGTCGCGAAACGGGAAGCCATTTTGAATCCCATCCCAAAACACTGAATTTCCGAGGATATTCCGAGTTATGGGAGCCAATCACAACGCGCGAAAATTGCTATCCACTAATTTGGTGAATACTAATTGTTAATTCACATTGTGCTCAGCGTATTAATCCTACGTCAATTTTTTCCTTTTTCTAGGTCACCTTATTCACAACTAGAGCCTACTCCTCCTGACAAGTGGGAAATTCTGCCTGAGCAAATACAGTTTGAGGAGGAGCTGGGGAGAGGAGAGTTTGGTGTTGTTCACAAAGCAACATTTAGAAAGAGTGATGAGATGGAGGTGTTAAACAATGCGGAGGCAGCACAGGTGGTGGCTGTCAAAGTTTTACATGGTAAGAAATAATGTTATTTCCATAAAGGGGAGACATAGCCAAAGTCTTTGATTTTGCAACTGCAGTCCTCTTCATACTGAAGTAAGTCCGGTTTTAAAAAATGCTAGTCTCCCCGCAGACGTCCTTTGGGGTTCGTTCGAACCCCAAAGGAAGTCTGCGGGGAAGCTAAAAAATGCAAGCTCTAGTCAATATTACTACTCCTTGTGAAGGATCGGATACATATAAAGAGATTTTGGCTCCCCTTTTTGTAATCCATGTCGTCCAGTTTACACCGCAAGTTTTTTGATAACGAGGAAAAGGGAATTAAAATTATGCAACTGAGCTACGACATCACCAAGCTGACGGCTAGACCCTTGTGTGAGCGGGGCCCAAGGGCATGATTTTTGACCCCTTTATGTGTGAAATTGGGTCTAAAAAAACGTGAAACAGGATAAGGTTTTGCTCTACCTTGGTTTAGGTAATGAGGGAAATCACATAGTCACATCACACCACCACCCGATACTCAGAGACCTACCTGGGCTGCTGGCAGGGTGCAGTGGTAAACTGAAAATGGTAACAAATGTCTGAATATTTCTCGATATTCTATTACACGGTAGAATACATTTGTATATATACCCTTTTGCATTAGAGGATGAGTGGGAAGCGGTAAAAATGGACGAATATATTTTTCAAATGAAACATTTTGCACTGAATAACGCTGAAGAATAACAATAATAAAATCAATTAAGAAATGGTAAACGTGCAGCGTGCAACCATGGAGTTATGGATGTACTCGGGAGGTTGCTAAGCACGAAAGAAGCGTAAAAGAGCGACTCTAGCTTCTTGAGTGCTTAGCAAACCTCCCAAGTGCATCCGTAACTCCATGGCTGCACAGCTGCGACGTTTACCTTTTCTTTTATAACATAATCAAAAGAGAAAAACATTATTTTCCATTTGCCCTCGGTTGAGTCATCGGTCCGAGTTCATGTATGCTGCCACCTGCCCGCAAGAAAAAAAAATCATGTTCTAAGTTTTTCACAAACTTGCCTTTGAGTTTTTCTTTCGCTGAATCAACCGTTCTCCGTCTTCAGGTAAATTCCAAAACGTTTTTGGTTGTTATTCTGAATGGCATCTGTCTTCTTGCTCTTAATATTAGGATAAAAACTTTGAGGGAAAACTATAGCTTCAACTATAAACACCAACTAAAAAGACTCTAAAAAATAAGCTAAAACTAAATAAATGAAATAATTATTATTTATGGAAACAGTGATTAATTCATCCAGGGCAAATTTGTCGTTTGATCTTTTGTCTTTTTTCCTTCAAAACGACAGCTTAGTATTTTCTTCAACTTCCACTTTTCATCTGTGCATTTCATCGGTGTATTTTACCGTCAGAAGAGGAGATTTGTTGAATTTGCCTAAATTTTACCGCACTAGCTCAGTTTCTTGGCGTGCACCCGGGGGCAAATGGTAATGGCTAACTGACCAATCAGAGCGCGCGATTTACTTTTGTTATGTTATAATGTCATTTTATTCAATTATCTTTAGATAATCCATCTGAAGCACAGAAAGAAGAGTTCACGTTTGAGATTGAACAGATGAAACTGTTGGGTTCACATAAGAACGTTGTATCCATGGTTGGATGCTGCACGCTTCAGGAGAAAATGTTCCTGGTTATAGAGTACGTTCCCAGTGGTGACCTGCTGACGTGGCTACGCCGGAGAAGAAAAAAGGTATAAAGAACATGAACAATTATACAATTAGTTTATAACGAAATTATCAAGAAACAGATATAGGGAGGCAACATTACGAATATATTTTGGTGCTATCAGAACATTTTGTACAACTTATTTAAGCAACTGCAGTTACTTCAAAATTATAAAAGCATTTAATGATAATACTAACAATAATAATTATATTATTATTATTATAATTTTAAACGTGTTTTATCCTTGGAGGTAACAATGATAGGGGTGGTATTAAAATCCTCCTTACGAATCTTAGTCCATAAAACCTGGTGTGCCTTTAATTAGGGGCCGTAATCTAGTATGGAGATAATAACTTTTTGACTCTAGGATCGCTTGAAGCCATGCAGACGTAAATAACGGTTTTTGTAACTTGCTTGATGTTTAGATCGAAGAACTTCAAGCTACCGAGAGATGTTATGCTGACAAAGAGGTTCTGAAAGATCAGGGAGAGACCAGATATCATGTAGGCTTGTATATTAACTGTAGTTTAACTTTCCATACTAGCTCTGTCTTAAAAACGTTTATTATCCAGAGGGCTTGTTTGTTTTATGTCTTGTTGACCTATTGTAGCTATCTAATCTACCCATTTGATTGTTGTTGAATGGTTTGCACGTAACGTAATCATACTTCAAAGTTTGTATTTCTACAAAGTTTCAGTTCGAAAGGGTTCTTCATTTTGTGACAGACTTTTGAATATTCTAATATATTGCGTGACGCGACAATAATGGTGCAGCAAAAACTGTCACGTAACTGTAAGTTAAAGAGTGACATATCTTTTTTTTAGATTTTTTTTTTATCTGAACACTCCTTGTTTTTTGAATAAGTATTAAGTGTAATGTTTATGAGCTGAGATGAGTACTCGCTTTATGCAATGTTTCTGTTAGTTTTCGGTCGCCATATCTGTGTTCCTCAGAGGGACGCCAACATGGCTGGCGTCTCAAAACAAAGCTCTATAAATTTGGGTAACACATTTCTCCGAATACCTCGCAAACGAAAAAACCGCACAGACCTGAATCTTAGCAAGACTTTTCGAATATCCCTTAGATTCCTGATCGAATTTATTCATTTCCACACAGGTCAGTGAACTTGCTAAGAAACAGATAAAGCAAGCGGAGAAAATACAATTGAGCATGGAAATGAGCCCATTCCTACAGGATAACAGCGAGGGCACAGCGTCGACTTCTTATCAAATCGGTGACGAAGTATGAAAGAAGTCAGCCAGGAGGGCTTAAAGATTTTAGATGACGTTTATTTCTACTATATATGGAAAAACTGCTTAACTCAACTTAAACGTGGTTAAGGCTTGTAGCTCATGAAAGGAATTCTCGTGTAATCCTGACTAGTGCAATCAACAGAGTCGATAGTTAACAATTAATGAATGAGGCTGAGTATCTTATGAAGAATTATGGAGATCGAGGAGGGTGTTATCCGTCGAGGCCATATTCCGAGGAGGATAACACCCTCCGAGATCCCCATAATTCTTTATATGATACGAAAGGCGAATTCAATAATTGTTTTATTATTCATTCAAAATAATTTTTAGTTTAAAACCATGGCTAACTCATGCTTACCTCCATCGATCCATCGATGTTAAGTTTATCTTCGATAGTGCACGTTTAGGGTCGGTTCAGCTCCGAAAATATTCTCCAAATAGCAGATGTCGCCCTTCGAGTTGTCTTCTTGCTGTTCTTGCCATGTTTTTAGTTATTTTTTTTACCTAGTTCTTACTCTTGAAACGAGTGGCGTGTCCGCCATTTTTCAAGTTCACAACCAAAACAACTCAACCTTGTCCTCAACCTTGTCTTTTCGGTTAACGGTGCATTAACCTGCAAGAACGCTGCATTTTTGACGTCATTTCCTCGCTAAACACAAAATTCTTCCACATTTGGTCATCAGTAACTGGTTATGGTCAATTAAATGTGTGCTTTTAGGCAATCAGAATCGGGGAAATATTTTGAATGAATAATAATCGATAAAGAGCGATTGATTAAATTGAAAATCGATAAAAATTAATAGGGGAAAAAGTTGTTGCTAATCGATAATTATCGACTTTACTCGATTTTTATCGAAGTTCTCGATTTTAATCGGCCGCTTACTTAATTAGGTTAACATTGGCAAAGAACGTTGTTTCCGAACATAAGTACATCATTTATGTGGCTTTAGACAGTTAAATTTGTAGCAAAATTTATTTCACAAATTACACTCAATATTCTTACGAAACATTTTCGGCCAATCGACAGGATAAAAAAGAGTTATAAGGGACGGACCATTAGAAAAGTGATGGGGGAAAGTGGGGAATTTTTAGCTTGCACGAATTTTTTTTTTTCGCTCACTGCTTGTGCAGGAATTTTTTTTTTCAGGTGAACCCCTCTGCACGAATTTTTTTTTTCAGACAAATATTGCTTTTTTTTTGAACAGTGAAATCTTGATTCATTATCTATGTTTTTGTGCTTTATAAATTATTCTACACTCACAACATATAAGGATACAGGCCACTTTAATGCAAAATCTTTTCGAAAATGTACAGACAGTGAGAGAGGAGGAAGCCACTTGGAGTGGACGGCTTCCCTGAGCATTTTTAGTGTAAAAAAGGGGGTCGGTAGGCAACACACGACTTTTAGCCAGGGCCTGCGGAGCGGATTTTCAAGTGGGGGGACTAATGCGAACGCGTTAGCGTGAGCCAACTAGTCCGGGGGCATGCTCCCCCAGGAAAATTTGAAATTGAAGTCTTCTGAAATGGCTAGAAATGGATCTAAAACTGCCAAAAGTGAAGGTAATTTTTAATTCTTATAAAACAACGAGTAACAAACTGGCCTTCACGTTGACTAAATTTAAATGAATAGACTAACTTCTAAGCTAAACCCAACAGACGCAACGGATGAGTGTCACCCGGACATTTTTAAGTCGGATTCTTTGACGGTACCAAAGTTGCTTTTTCGATTTTCATTGAGAGCTGCAAACTCATTGGCAACATCTATAAGTGTTTCAAACAGACAAGAGACGAACACCCATAATTCATAACAGTCTAACGATTTAGAACAAACACAGTAGCACGAGCGTAGCCACGTTTTCAGTCTCCAAGCAGAAGAAAAGGATCTCTCGCCTGCTGCACTGGTTGCTGGACTTACAAGAAGAAGTTTACATAGGGTTATGATTTCAGTTATAATACACTTTTAGGCTTCAGAAAGCTGCTTGATCTTGGCTAAAATGTCATCAAAACAGGTAAATTCTCCGTCCTTCATCAACACCTTAAATATTTCCAGTTGAACATTCAATGTTCTACCATCAACAGCCAAAAAAGTGGGGGGGCTAAAGCCCCCCAGCCCCACCCCCTGCGCCGTCCCTATTAATACCTCATGCCAAAATGCTGCTTGTTCCAATACTGTTTTCTTTTTCTCTGACGGGTAGATTATGCTGTGGAGGAAAATGTTTTGACTGATCAAATGTGATTTTCTCCGCTTATTTCACACTGAGAGGTCGTGACACGCATATTGATTTTCTGCGGTCATTGTGCCTGGTAATATTGTTGATTTCTGAAACTCAGACTTTCTGAAAAAAATTCAGACTTTCTGAAAAAGTCACAATTGGACCTTCCTTCTGCATGAATTTTTTTTCTTTACCTTCTTCTTTGCATGAATTTTTTTTCTTGGCATTTTCCCTTGCATGAATTTTTTTTTTGGCTTTTTCACCACCCCCCACATCACTTTTCTAATGGTCCGTCCCTAAACAACTGATTCAGCTAGCTTGCACTGAAAACTGTTCAAGTTGAACCCAACAATGTATATAGTTCAAGTGGTGAGGATAATGTTCAGTGTACAGTTTTTCAGCAAGACCCTTAAATTGCTTCCTCAAAAAGGATATTGGAAAGGATCATTTAAATCGCTCTGTAAATATGCAAAACAAAGTGGATAATGAACTCCGCAACTAAATGTAAAGAGAAGTAGCATGCCCATAAAACATGATAAAAATGTGAGAGAAAATCATCATTTAAAGCAGAAAACATCTGCGTATTGCTAAAATAATTTTCTTTAAAGTAATGCATTATTAGGTTTTGAACCTGAGAGGGAATCGATGATATCGTTAAAATAGTTAAAAACGATAGCGTTGACAATTGATTTTCTGATATCGGCTTTTATCGATTGCGCTAGTCAGGTGTAATATGCAAAAGTTGTCTCTTTATTTAATGACCTGGGAACCGAGAAGCGCCTCTTTATGAAAGAATTAGTTACCTATAAAGACGTTTAGAAAAATCGGAGAGAGGTTTGGGGATCAAGGAGGCTTATCACACGACTAAATTTGGTATTGAATATTTTACTGATCAGGCCTACTAAAGATCCAGCTGATCCTCTCTGGTTTGTCGTTGTGGTTCTGCCTTCAAAAGTGTTTCTTATACCACAAAACGTGATAGAGATAAAAGTTGTTGCTAATCGATAATTATCGACTTTAATCGATTTTTATGGAAGTTGCCGATTTAATTGGCGCTTACTTAATTAGGTTAACTGCGTGACGCGGCTTTTACATGGTAGCCTGCGCGCAAGCTCTCCGGGGCGCTCTGGCGGCGGGGCGGGAAAAGGAAGGAGAGCTTGCAACTAAGTCTCTGGAATTTGAATTCTACCTCCAATTCGCATGTGGCTCCCCGTCGACTGAGCTGTCAGATTTCCGCCAATCAGCGCGAAGCGGAAACGATTGTAAACAAACATTGAAAAGCACGTGCCAAGGGTAATGGAGTCATTACTAATGTTATCTCCACCAATCAGCATTTCGCATCGCCTTATTCTTTTTCCAGAGACGTAGCTACAAACTCTCCTTCCTTTTGCCGTCCAGCCGCCAGAGCACCCCGGAGAGCTTGCTCGCAGGCTATTTATATGGCGGACGAGAGAGCTGCCATGAAGGCTGAAAAAGTGACTCTGTTGGGGGGGATTTTGCTATCTGAATGGTCATTGTATTAATGTCAATGTTAATGATTTCCTCAAGAGATGAATTCACCCTTAAGTAGCACAATTCCGTGACACATGTTTCTGTTGATTTCCGGCTGCCGTGTTAGTGACTATCCGGATGGGCACCAACATTACGTTTCCATATAAAGCTCTATAAATGTAGGAAAAAAAATTCGCCGAATTTCTCGCGCATGAAAAATTGACCTGAATCTTGGCGAGGGCCTTTGTATATTTACCTTCTTTCATTTCCCAGATTCTAGACTTTACCTATTAAACGGTTTTGATTTTTATTTTTAATAGCATGACAGTGAAAACCTGCAATAGCGTTACATTTTTTCTACATGTAAATGTCATCGCCATTTTCTTTAATCATTTAGCAAAGTTTGGCTCATGAGTATGAAGTTAAGGAGGATCAACATTCTATGCACCAAGACCAAGAAGACATTGCAGTGTCTCCGCAACAAAGCAAGAAAGATACCGTTCTTGAAGTGATTTCATTGACTTCCACCGAAGTAGATGTAAGACGAAAACAAAAACACCATAATAATTACTTATTCACTAATAAAGAAGAATTTGCCTTTGGGGCACCTTATTTTGTTTACGTTTCACATTAGAAGGACACAACGTGATCTTGGTTCTCCTGTGCCACTAATGTGTTTCGTCGATGGTGTACCTTTTCTGCGCTGTCTTGGATTTACGTTTCAGCGTCTTGTTTTCCTTCTCTTGAGCTATTTTCAGTTGCGGGCTTGTGACTTCCAGAACTATGGCTGATATAAGGAATCGTCTAGTAAAATGGTGTATTTGTTGTTTTTAGTCAGTAGGACGTGTATCAGCAGGTGACAGAGGCTTTCTGGGTAAACATCAAACTGTGGGCATGGATTTTCATCCTAGACTTGAAAACAGTACCTTGGACCCAAAGTGAATTTTATCTAGCTCTAAACTGGTCACTTTGAAGTTACTTTTAATAGATAATACTTATATATTCTGAGGCTCTTATCTGGAAAGTAATTACTTGAAAGCTGTGCTCTTTCAAGCTAAACCAAAAATTTGATAGTTTTTCTTCAATTTAATTAGGATGAGGAATTCAAAGTGACTGACAAAGAACTTCTAACCAGGCCAACGACATCACTAGGAAAAAGTCAAGCTTCTGCAATGCCACTTCCAATTGAAAACCTAGTGGAGTCAGACGAGGATCCTTGTGACGTAGAGGAGAACTTTTCCCAACAACTGTTTTCATTTGCCTGGCAAATGGCTAAAGGAATGGTAATTATCTTTGCTTACTGGATAATGTTGCTGGGATTCTGATTCTGAGTATAGCTTGGAAAGAAGAATTCAAAGTCAATATTTTATAAACATGAAATAGATGGGATAAATATATTGTCTATTTTTCTAGATATGAGTACATTAAAATGGCTTATATGGAAAAAAAAGTTCTTTTCGGTAGACCCAGTTTTGGTTAAATTCGTTTCGTTATGCATCTAAACGAAAATATCTGGATCTGATTAGTGCAGATATTTGCTTTTCATTTGTATTTTTTCATCTATACTTAAACTACTTAGTGTTCAGCAGGTGGCCAAGGCTTTCTGGCTAAACATCAAACTGTGGGCATAGATATTCCTCCTAGACTTGAAAACGGTACTCTGGACTCAAAGTAAATTTTATCTAGCTCTAGACTGGTCACTTTGAAGTTGGCTCTTGTCTGGCTCAAGCAAATTATGTTATTTTTATCTTTTTATCCGCTAGCTGCTTATTTACTAACAAGGAAAGTAATTACTTGAAAGCTGTGCTGTTTCAAGCTAAACCAAAAATTTGATAGTTTTTCATCGATTTAATTAGGATGAGGAATTCAAAGTGACTGACAAAGAACTTCTAACCAGACCAACGACATCACTAGGAAAAAGTCAAGCTTCTGCAATGCCACTTTCAACTGAAAACCTAGAGGAGTCACACGAGGATCCTTGTGACGTAGAGGAGAACTTTTCTACCAAACAACTGTTTTCATTTGCCTGGCAAATAGCTAAAGGAATGGTAATTATCTTTGTTTTCTGGATTATATTGCTGGGATTCTGATTCTGAGTATAACTTGGAAAGAAGAAGTCAAAAGTCAATATTTTATAAACACGAAATAGATGGGATAAATATATTGGCTGTTTTTCTAGATATGAGTACATTAAAATGGCTTATATGGAAAAAAAATTCTTTTCGGTCCACCCAGTTTTGGCTAAATTCGTTTCTTTATGAATCAGATCGTAAATATTTTGGATTAGATCAGTGCCGATATTTACTTTCCATTTGTATTTTTCATCTATGCCTAACTACTTAATGTTCGCCTTACCCCCGTTATTATATTTTGAGATCATTTTAATCGTTTTTTCGTTGCTTATTTGTTATTAGAATCATCTCGCCGAAAACAATCTTGTTCACAGAGACCTTGCTGCCCGTAATGTTCTTGTTGGTCATGACAACCAGATCAAAGTGTCAGACTTTGGGTTGATGAGACAAATCTATGAAGACGTGAGCAGCTCAGCGAAGTCCAGAAAACTTCCTGTAAAGTGGATGGCCCCTGAATCACTTTATCAAGGGGTTTACACGACCAAAAGTGATGTGTGAGTGATGAGTTTTCCCGCTCCCTTGACAAGGGAACTATTGAAACTTTTCTACTGAATAACTTCTCAAAATTGTATTTGCCGTCAAAATTACAGAAGCATACAACTCTGAAGCGCCTAAATCTCCTTATATTTTTTTTATAACCATCCTACGGTTTTTAGCTGTCCAATTAGAAGCACGGAAAATTGTTTGCCCAAATATGGAATCATAGTATAGAAGGCATCTCTGTCGAAATATATAGCTGCTAAAAACGGATTCTTCCAGTCCTTAACAGTTTTCCAATTACACCCAAAACTCAAGAGTACACACATTTTTGGGCTGCTCCGTGGGCAGCAAACAAACTATAAATGCCGTGAAACTGTACATATTTATAACCTCTCTGGTTTTTCTCATAGTTGGTCTTTTGGTGTTGTTCTTTGGGAAATGGCTACCTTGGGTGAGTGGACAGTAATTTTGTAGTTTATAGTTGTCATGTTAAATTTGAGGTGACTGACAAATCAAAAAAGCATTTTTCATTATCTATGACTCTTATCGACCGTAGAAATGATGTCAAAATGTTGAAAACTCATGTACCACCCGCAGGATAATGGTTTTACACTGCAAAGTTTTGAGCTCTCCAAGGGAATTAAGGGCACCGTGCCTTAACCCACCTTCCCCGCTTTGCCATGGTGGGATGTGGCTTAACTGTTACGATTGTTATCAAGGTTACTGCCTCCAGGAAGGGCGAAAACAATGTTTTATAATGTTTCATTTGCGGCAAGTTTGAATTTTCTTGTTTGATCTGGGCTCTGTTTTAAGTGCATTTGAGACAAGTACATCTCCTAGATGATAACCGTACGTGACAATACATATTTTGATATGTCAAATTTAAAAATTTGCGAACATTTGATGACTGGAAACGAGAAGCCTTATTGTTAATCACCCTGGAGTGCCTTCTTTCATTACACATTTAACTGCATTGGCTCTATACCAGACCTCCATTCAATCAACCATTTTTGCAAAATGGCCTTGTTGAGTTTATATGAGGAGGAGTGACAATCGACTAAGGCATTTTTAATAGAAATCTATCTAATGGAAAATTGCATGTATTCAGTTGCTGATATGTAATCATTTGTTTTTTTTCTCGCAATTGTCAGGAGGCGTACCATACCCCACGCTGACCAACTCAGAGTTGTATCGACTGCTCGGTACTGGTTATCGCATGGAAAGGCCTGACATGTGCTCCGATGACGTGTACGTTTCTTGATTAGATTGGTCTTAGATTTAACAAACAGATTCGATTTTTCTGTGCGTCTGCCCAGTTACATTTCACACCGAACGGTGCAGCATACGAATTCGTCAAATATTTTAACGCTTTCTTTGATCATATTAAATACTGACCAGACGGACGGCAGGGGAAAACTTTTGATCCATTGGCTTTATGGTCAATAAAGGCATCATTAGTAGTGATTAGGTTAATCTCTTTCCTGGGTTCGTGGAGAGTACTCCATGTACTAGGGAGGCACCCCCCAAAAGGGGTACCTCTGTCAGTCTTCTGGTATAGGAATTTTGATAGTCGAAGTATATGAAAGGGTAGGGAAATCTATCATTTCGGTCTGTAAAATGACTTAAGAGGACCAGATAAGATTTTCTGTCTGTGAAAAAGTCGAGAAAATTTTCTAGTCTGTTATTTATTCGTATTCAAAAGGAATACATTTTTCAGCAATTAAAAGGGATAAAGTTAAAGTTCTTTTCTTTTACATAATAATGGCTGGATGAAGGAATAGAGAATCGCGTGATAAAAAAAACGTTCCAAGAGCCCATTTTAATGCGCTTTACGTGGAAGCTTCACCCAAAAGGAGTACCTTTTTAGGCCACATGTATATGGAAAGGTAGGAATTTCACGAGCTAAAATGTTTGAAATGATAGGAAATTTTGTAACTTCGGTAATTTAAACTAAAAGATATTTTAAACAGAGGTGCCTTTATTGTATGCTTAATGTTAAGGGCTTAATGGCTTAAAAAGTGAAGTAGTCGTACCATTTTTTCAGGGTAGGCAGGAAAGGAATGTATACGAAAGGGGTACCTTTTCTGTCATGAAAAATGCTGCATAAAAGGAATTGGACCTCAGGGTGGAGCCTCCCTGTAAACTCATGAAGCTAAGAAGCCTATACATTCTACTAAAAAAATTTCTTTAATTCCAATAGACCTTTTTCGCTTGCATGTTTTGTTTTGCCAATACAGTTCATGTCTAGCGGTAAAATTCCCCTGGGACCTCTTTTGGGAAATCAAAACATACAAGCTATAAAGAGGTCTATTGACACTGTCTATTAATTGACTGGAGCTCTACTAAGCATTGAATGGTTCTTTTTTTTTTCTCCATTCATAACAGATATGAGCTGATTACTGAATGTTGGAACGAAGACCCTTACATTCGTCCCAGTTTCTACCGTTTGATTGAAAAAATGGAGGCGATAATGGAAAGGGATGCACCATATTTGAATGTAAACAAACACAATGAATATCATCCGTATTACAACGTGCCTCCTGAAGCTAGTGCTGATTGATATGGAGAAGAAGGAGCATCCCCAATAATCGGACAGTTTAAGACGGAACGAGTATAAACAGTAAATGCATAGTTATTGACTTAGAAACTAAGCTAAGAAAATACTGAAAGAATTAAAACAAACATTAAAAGAGCTTTAAGCATTAACAAAAAAAAGTGTAACAGTAAGGCCCTTCAGATGTTATCAGGAGCCCATCACCCAGGGATGTAAATCTCTCGTGTTTAGATTTTAACTAAGCTATTTATAGATTAATCTTTCAGGCCAAGAAAAACGGGACTGAGTAGGACTTCCAGCAATCAGCGGAGGAGATCAAAGAAGTATAAAGCGATTAAGGTTTTAACTGAATGACAAACCTTAACAGTTAGCCACTATCTGAGAAGATCAACCGCCATATTGGATTGCACCGAAGTTGTTTTTAGTGTACAGCCAATTTTTCGTAAACGAGTGACGTAATATCTTACCCTCTCACCGACAATGCAATGCAAAAGAGGATGATATCTGGTTGCTAAAATGCTCGTCATTCAGAACATTGAAAACTTTCGGGCTGAAACAGAATTTACAGATTTATTAAGCACCCCAGATTTATCATATAATAACCATTTAGTTTCTCTACGGGCTCAGATTTGCAATTAAAACTAACTTTTTTTTTAATGTTTTTAGAAGACAGTTATCGGGTTAAGTACCCTTCTTAAAATACAAAATAACATTAGCTCTAGCCTTTGGATGAGATAGTTCCATGACAAGAAAAACGTACCTTAAAAAAGAGAGAGAAACAGAGAGCCTCAAAAAAGGAGAAAAAACTTTAACGAAAGGGCCTTAAAACATCCAGCTTCGTAATTTAGGATACAAGAAAAAGCTGTGATCCTAGCCCCAGCATTTGTAAGGTGAAATCTCGCTTATAATTAGATGCCCCTGGGTTTCAGGGCAGTTTCAGGGACAAAAGTGTTCCTTCAGTGGGCCTCCCGTGGCTTTAAACTCTTAATAGAGTATAGGGTGACTTAAAGTCAGTATATACATAAAAAAACCTTGCAATGGTTGGAATGAAGAATTACCCGTCTTCTATATTCACTGGCATTCCTCCACGCACTCCGCACTCCCATGCTCCGGTGGAGTTTCAAAGGATTTCTGACTACAAGTTACCCTGTATTTAGTACTGTCAGTAGTGTACATTATAAACAAAGGGGCTTAAACAAGAATCTAGGGATTACATATTTAACTATTGTTTTAACGCTTTGCAAAATCCTTACGACATATATAGACTGGCTGAAATACCTGTAACGCTATCAGTATGATTAAAATAACATTGTTCCGCACTTGGCTTGCTTTATACTTTAGCATTTCTCATTTCAAATTAGTAATCATGTACATGGTTTGACCAATGAATGATTGCATGACCTGATAAGTCATTAACGTCGCGGTACTCCTTTGTTTGTCCGTCAGTTAAGCCATGGTGGCCTAGGGTCATTTTTTTTTAAAAAACTAAAACGTCCTTTGTCGTAGTTATATTTTTCATTACATTTGTCGGCAAATTGCAAGTTACAATAACAAACAAGTATTCCATACATCCTTGCTATTGTTTCCACGTGGTCTAATTGATTAAAACAAGAAACGCCTAAGACCCTTGACCTCGGTGGCCATGGAAGAGCGTACAAACTTGTAGGCATTACTCAAATGTAGTGATTTTACTGGCTGATCACCAATCGCGTCTCCATAGATCCCTTTTGGCCATGTGTTAAGTGTCCTGACGCGTTTTTGGTGCTGACCAGAGAGAAAACGGGCTCTTGAGACGAGATTGGCTGATGACAACAGCCGCAAAGAATCCAACAAACCAATCACAGCTGTTATAACAACTCCAAAACAATCAACTTGTGCCATGAAAGCAAAAACAAATTCCGCTTGGGTGCAAGAAATGTTTGAGCCAATTTTAAGCGCAGTGATGTCAAATCAAGCGCACAGTCAATAGAAGGTACCCTGGATGCCAGACCTCTTCCCGCTCATCAGCGGCGATGGAGAAGCGTAAAGAGCGAAGTGCTAAAGTGCTGGTCCCAGTTGTTCAAAACGTGGATAAAGCTATCCACTGGTTAAATCTTTATGTAGTGGAACGCAAACAGTTTCCCTATAACACTCATCCACTGGATAGTGATTTATCCGGTGGATAGCTCTATTCATCGTTTGAACAACCAGAGCGTGGTCAGCGAGAGATTATTTCTTTCTCGCCGCTTCGCGACTTGCTTTCGAGGGTTCCAAAGGGAAAAAACCTCTGTCACCCTGTGCGGTTAAAGACCAAATAACGTTTTGCAAGGGCTTTTCTGGGTTAATTGCTGGAAGAAGGAGCTCCAACATGTTAACTATATTTAACACTTTAAACTATTATTTTAAGTAATTTTCCGCTACCATCTCCTCAGCCCTTCCCTGCCAATGTACAAATGACTATATATTGTCTCATGGTATGAGGGAAACTTCAAGGATTCAGCGTAGTCTAAGAAAATAGACTCAACGGAAAGCTTCATTATTTTCCCAAGGGATTTTTTTCTTAACCAGGGCGGGGTTGTTGAAAGGTGGGTTAAGATAACTTAGGGTTATTGCGAAATTTGAATTCAGGTATGGAAACTTTAAAAGTAATCCAGTTTAATCTTTTTTTGCATGTGATTTGCTAATTAACCTATGCCACTGATTTGTTAATTGGATGCTCTAAAAAGAATTGAGAAAATTATCCCGGAAAATGCTTTTTGGACTTTCCAAAAAGCCCTTCGTCCTCTCATGACTTCGTCGCTCGCTTGGCCACTTCGCGGCCTAAAATTAAGTCTAAAATGGTGGCCCATATCTGCAAACACAACAAACATTCTCGAAACACAATATATTCCTGGAACACAACAAACATTTTTCCAAACACAACACGGTATTAACCAAACACAACAAAGGTCTAATTTATGGAAACACAACACAATAATATCCAAACACAACACGATATTTGCAAAACACAACACAAAATTCTCCCTACTAGGTAATGCAGGATTTGTTATAAAACAAAGCATGAACCCACATTTACTCAACCGCTGAATGGTTATGCGCCTTCCCCGCATGTGTCAATCTGTCGCAAGAATGGATGTGTTTTTTAAGGGCTTGAACTGATGAGAAGAGTTCGAAGGAAACTCACCAATACTACTCTAGATGTGGAGAAGCCGTAAACAAAGAGAAGGTTCTCATACGTCATTATTTTCAGCGTGGGTTTGACTACTCGGTTATATTACTCTTTTTAGAATAGTACCATGCAACGGCATGTCTATGCGTACTTGAACCAGAGGCTTCGCGAGTACACGGATTAGAAGAAGGAATACGAACAGTAATGTTGGCGAAATTTATCGGGCCATTCAACAAGAATTTTGTTTTGTGTTTTGCAAATGTTGTGTTGTGTTTCGATAAACTTTTGTTGTGTTTAGATAATACCGTTTTGTGTTTGGAAAAGTGTTTGTTGTGTTCCAGGAATATTCTGTTGTGTTTCAAGAACTGTTTGTTGTGTTCGCAGATATGGGCCACCGTTTTACGCTAAATGCTTTTGAATAAAAGGAAAAGAAACGCGGATTAAAATATAACCCCGAGTTAGCGCTAATCGGCCTTCGAAGAACTGGGCCCAGAAAATTAGCACGGTTGTTTTTATTGATGAAAATTAAGAGTCCTTTTCCAATTGTCGTCGCTTGTATACGTTCCCCATAACACGTGAAATTAGACAATTAGTTTCACGTCATTGTCGCACAGGGGCAGCCAAAGTTAAGATTTACAGGAATTTACAGGAGTATTCATCTTTAAGTTTTAAAACAGAATTGAAAATCGAGAGTAGCCCTCGTTTAACTTAACCTTGTTTAGAACAAAGCGACCTCGGATTAGTAAACCAGATCAATTCACATTTCAACACTCGAAAACAATGCATTTTCTAATCTGCATGAGGCATAAAAGTAACCTTACACTTGAAGGGTACGCTGGGTACACAGTAGGGAGCCAAAAACTTCACCAGCATAAGCAGTGTATAGCAATATACATGTGTAACACGCACAGGGCACAGAGGAATTATTTGTGACCTTGGTTGTTGATTGTAGTTAAATTTTACAGTTGATACCGCACATTCCCTTTGACTTAATACTGTGGAATCAAGAAAACCGTCATGCGATCGTCTTACAAACCTGGTTAAATATTATCCTATTCTCCGGAAAACCACTGAAGGTAATGACTGTGGACGAATAACAGCAGCTACACTGTATGATATAATAAAGAGACAAATAACACCTCTGCGCCCTGTGTAACACCCCGACAAGAATTAATTATTTGATATTTTCTGCTGCCCTGCATCTGTAGGTTTTAGGATTTACTGTTGGTGCACTGATAGCTTTGTACATGGCTCGAACAGTACAGGTAAGAAAAATGACCCTTCTGCTCGTAGAGCCTCAGATAATCATATCAAAGGGGTGCCTGGAATTAAGCCTGATGTTAGACAATCAAAGAGTGAGGGTGTAATTGCATTGCAGTCTCCCTT